TCTTAGAATCCATAAAGATATATAAGACTTTAATAAAAAAAATAAATAAAAGACTTACTTGGACTTGGTTTTCTATAAATATGAAACGCACCACAGACACCAGTAAATTGTTGTGATTGTGGAGTTTCCAGAGATGAATTTTCAGGTAGTTCGCTCTTTGGAGAAAAGTGAGAAAAATCAGCAACAAAACCTTGATTTTCATTTAGGGCTTTTTGTCCCTCTCCCTCACTTTTTTGACCAACCAATTTTCGAGGTGAAGTCTGTAGTAGAGATATATGACAAAATTTTCTTTATAACAATAATTTTGCCTACACATTTTAACTTTCTGAATCCATAACTGTTAACATCTAAAATATCTGAAATATCTACTGTGCAGATCCATAAAAGCAGCTTAATTAAATGTAGGTCTCATTATTAATAATTTTAATTTAAACATTTCATAATTGAGTTTTCATTATAGTTTTTTAAAAAAAAATAAGTGAAAATACTTACAATTCCAGGAGAGATTCTTGGTGGAACTAGCGGAGGTGCTCCAAGGAAACTTTGACCATTTTTCCCTACAAGAACGCGCACAGTTTGAAGCGTAAAACTTTGCTTTCTCAGCCACAGATGAAAAGTATCGCACAGTATTGGTAGCAACATATACCTAATTTATTAAGATCAAGACTAGAACTTCTTGCATGTGTTCTGTATGGTCTGGGTGGTGGTGGAGGCGGTGGTTCCTTCTTTGGAGTTACTATAATAGCTTCTTCAGGAGGTGGAGGTGGTTTTTTAATGAGAGGTCGTTGCACCAATGCACTTGCTGTACGTTGGAGATCATCATCTCCTAATGTAGTGCAGCTATTAGCGTTGCCATTTGCTCCAGAAGCAAGAATTGCTGCTTCAGGTGTCAAACGCAATGGTACAGGATGCAGAATTTTAGGATCTTTTTCAACAGCAGATTTTTGAAAATCAAAATTTACTAATTGTAAACCTGGACTAGTCAAAGAACTGCTAGTTCCAGTCGGCGAATCAACAAATTTTGTCCATTCTTTATTTCTTTCACGAGTACCAGAAGTATTAGGTGGAGTAGTTTTTTGAGTAGTAGTAGTTGGTGGAATGGATGGTGGACCAGTCTTTTGCTTAAGCAAAGGAATTAATAATGGTGGAGGTAAAACATCAGGTAGAGGCACATGATTTCTTCGTAACACAACAAGATGCATAGCCACTAAAAATTCTTGTAAACTCAATGCTCCATCTCTGGTAATATCTGCTAATTGCCAAATGCGACTAAGTTCTCCTAAAGGAAGTCCAGACTTTTCAAAAAATGTCCTGGCTATGGAACCATGTAGAAGTCCTTCAGGATCAAGTTGTAATTGTGAAAATTGAGTAGTATAATATTCACGTTGTTCATCACTAATTATCCATACTTCTTCAGGTGGAAATCCTGAGCCATCACCATCTCCTTCACCTTCATCACTGCTATGACGTTCTGAACTTTCTTCTTCAGTTCCTAATAATTGCCTTTGCTCTTCAGATACTAACAATCCTTGCCAACCTCCAGATACAGAATCTAATATTGTTTCACCACCTATATCATTATTTCTCTCCTGTATTATACTATTTGTTGGTGTTGGAGAATCTGTACTACCACCAGTTTCTCTTGGAGACTCTGCTTCACTTTCACTTTCTGTAGTACTTTCTGGAGCATGGCGATGACTCTTCATAGCCCTATTTGAATCTGAACTTCTTCTACCATCTTCTTCTCCGGATGCTGGCCAAGTAAATCTTGGTAATGTAATAACATCCAAAGGCATAGTAATTATATCTTTACGGATACTAAGTCCTGCTTGATGAGCTGCTACAAGTTTTAATAGCACAAAGAATTGTTTTTTTCCAAGATGCGTACCAATGTGTGCTGCTTCAGTTCCAAAACAGATATCCAATATCTATAAATTAAAATATATTTTGTATTATATATTTGTGCATAATCGATTAATTTTATTTAAATTTGTATTTAAATATATATTTATATTCGAGATACACAATTTAAAATATGTTATATTAAATATTCCCCAAAAAATAACAAGTTAAATTAATATATAATTGTATTACACATATTTATTTTAAAGATTACTAAAAAAATTCGAATGTTTATATTATATTCTTTATATTATTATTTATCAAATTATATTTATAAAATATATAAAACTATTAAATATTTAAAATATTTAAAATATTTAAAATTTAATTGTTATTAAATTCTTTTGAATTTTAAATTTTCATTTATAAACATTCTCTATCATAAATTTTTTTTAAATATTTATAACAATAACATATTAATATTGACATGTCAAAAACAATGGTTGAAAAAAATTATATTTGATTTATTTTCAATTTAAAATTATGAAGACATACTTAACTACTTTGTTTATAATTTAATTACAATGCTTATAATCTTCTCATAATAGTTCTTTCCTAACCTTCATGAGCTTTCATAATTTGCCGATATTACATTATATTGAACAAATTAAACGCCCACTTCATTACGATTAAAAAGATTCTATGATTTTAATATTATAATTGTACATATGACAGAAAACTAACAGCTGACAGACTATATGCAATGAGTAAATGTAATTTACCTTCATCGTGACAACTCCTGGTAAATTTGCCGAGCGTAATAGTTCGGCAACTTTGATTACCGGTACACTATCGCTGTCTGCATTTTCACAGCAATAACTAAATATGTCTTCATAATATTGATGTTCGGTCATCGTTAGGTGAAGACTAGCCATCGTGATCGACTCCCAATCCATCTTGGCGACAAATCAGAGCGGAGCAATGAACCGCTTTTACACTCGTTACGTACAAACTGGGTCCGTTCTCTTTCTGTACTCTCTTCTTCTCTTACTCTTTCTATCTTTTCTATCCCTCTTATTCGTTGTTCTTCCGTTCTTGACACGGTCTGCTTCACAGGACGGTCGTGATCAGTATGTAGTCACATTGCACAATAATGTTATGATTTTGATAAATCCCTTGGAAACGTAAGACACCATTTGTAGACTACATCCCATGCATCACAAAATTACCGCTCGACCGCCATCTTTCTATTCCTTCGGTGTTTGACATTATTATAATTCATGTGCGCACACTATCTGAATTGTACAACTGACGTTTCTACGGTATGTGCGCATTAACTTTATCGGATTATAAGTGTTCTTACTGCGCATGCGTTTTCTTCCATGATGATAACGCGGGATTTTTAATTTTTCTAAATCTTTTATTTGGTCAATCTTTTTATTTGCTTGACAGTACAATTTGCTATTATAATATTTGTCTTCTTTTTATTTTCATGTAATATATTTCACGCATAACGATAATATTACAAATGAAAAATTATTTTATTCTTATAATATTTTGATCGTTTTTCCCACTACTTTTGTTTAATCGTGTTTTAATCTTGCTAGGACAAAATAGCGTCGAATTATTCTCTTTTAATTAAATGTTGTCAAGTTTTAGACTATGATCATTGCAATGTCATTAACTATTTTTTGTTATATAATTCAGTGGTATAAAAAAGGTAAATGTAACTATCGTTTTGTTTCACATTTAAGATGCATTATCTTATACGGGTGTATGTACCAGAAAACTAAGCGTTTAAACTTTCGCTTCTTTGAAAATAAACGAAAATTGTTTGAACGTAGCAAACTGCGATGCGAAAGAAAAACCGTAGAACGCTTACGTTGTGACAACAATACGAACTGATGCGTGACTAGAGCGTATTATTATGATCGATCCTTACAGATATACTTAATTTCGAATCTAACAATTTTACATAAACTCGATGCGATTAGTTTATCTGTTAATCTAATAATAATATGAATTGCAAATGCGTAATGAAATGTCACCATGAATCATAGGCACGATAATTCTTCAAGTGTAGTTCGATGTCGCAGAAAAGCATATTACTAATGGCAGATATTATATATTTTCGGTAATCGAAGAAGACTGACATTTCTTCGTATTGCCGTAACGTCCAGTTACCGGTTTTTGTCCAGCCGTTTTAAATCGATGCAGCACTGGTGAACTTTCCCTTGGACTACCGCTAATATTATCGAAGTCCCAACTCGCGAAATGTTCCTCGAAAAGTTCTTCGAGTTTCTTCGATAGTGTTTCGATTACTTTTACTCGATCATGATCATCCTGCGATAAAACGATTGATAAAAATTTAAAATAAATTTCTTTAATAGAAGTTGAAACTTTTGAAAATCAAATAAAACTCTCAAAATTTTTATTCACCATTTCGTATCGACTCGGTAATAATCGGATGCAATCGGTTCGAGAATAAGACAGTAACAGTATAGTTATTAAGGTTTTTAGCCGATCGCATCCGATTATCGCCGAATAGATCCGAAGTTCAACCGCGAGTTTCAAATCTCCTTCTTCATTTTATCGAGATCCAATCGATTTTTTGAACAAAATTTCAGGAATTAAGCAACCCAAGATACAAACCTTATGATATAATTTTGAATTATAAACAATACGACGAAAGTCTCTAACGACGTGTTCCACTTTATGGTAAACTCGATTCTTTAATTTGTATTCAACCGTTTCTAGGAACATTGGACTTTTAATGACTTTACAATAGTCCTCGATCTAAAAGGAAATATCGGCAAAATATTAATTCACCACACTTACACGTACACATATATAAACATACCAACCTTATACAAAGAAACTGACCGTGTATGTAGAAGATTGATTATTGCCCCCCGAAGATGGACACTTGAAAACCTCTGCTTCATCCATTTGCCAAACCGTTTGATGTATCATTTCCAATTTGCTAAGCGCAAGCGGGCTAAGACTCTGTTTCCTCTTCGAACTGTACCATACGGACCAACCTCTGTCGCTAGTCTTCCCACCATATTTCCCGTCCAAGAATTCGATGCATCCAGCGTTCTCCCTTTTTTTCCCGTGCTTCACCGCGACGGTCGATTTCAACGTTCCCTCCATCGATTGAGAATCACCATCGATCTCGCAATTTTTCGTTGCCTTTTTCCCGGAACACTTGCGGGATCTGCTGTGCAACAAATAGTAAGATTTCTCGAAATCTTTTCTCTGACATTTACGGCCGGGTATCGGTATCACAGTGCTGCAAATCGTTGACACATTGGCAATGTTTAATTTGCTTTTCTTGGAAAATTCTTTCTTCTCCGAGAAGGACGCGCTCAAGGAGGCGCAGCGGCGCACAGTTTCGGAATAAGTGGCTTTCCCCACGACACGTTCCGTCTCCTCGGACGTTGTCTGGTCGTTGTTCAACGAGACGCACGAACTTTTCCTCGAGCATATCGTCTGTTGGAGATTTTTCACGGTCGTCGTCGTTGTCGCCACCGTCGTTATCGTACTGTTGGACACCAACGAGACGATAGGATTCGTTTGCTCGTTCTCTGTCACCGAACTGTTCGACGATTCGGAGCTATGTTGCTGGACAGCGTTGTTTTTCCGCCGTTTCTGCTTATTTGCCATGTTAGCGTTGTTCAAAGTTTTGATTAACCACGAGTCCGTTTTTACATTCATTTTACTAGAACCTGTTAACGGGTAGCTGCATAAAATATTGCGATATTTAATGCTGGAAGAACGGAAGTATTGCCTTAACGTGACACGTATCTTTTTTTTTTTTTTTTTTTTAAATAACACTCGTCTCACTTTCTCAAAACAAATTACTATTTTTTGTTGTTGTTGTGTTTAATTTTTAAATGTTTAATTATCTTACGTTATTATACGTCATATTCGTGATAACGTGAAAATTGAAAATTTCTCTCAAATTTCCGTCCTTCTAGTATTAAAAGCGAGATTTTAAATTTCATCTTTCATATTAAAAAATAAATAAATACAAGATTCGACTGTTTTCACTTCGACGTAAAACGTAAAACGAAATCGGGATGGAGAAGAAAAAAATAAAGAAAAAAAGAATGGAAGGAAGAAAGGAAGAAAGAAAGGAGGGGGTAGGGGAAAGGAAAACGTCTAACAAGAAAGGCAACGTTTTTTCTTTTTCCTTTTTTTTTTCTCTTTTCTTTTAAATGGCGCTTCGACCGATAATAATTATTACCATTTTTATTACCAGATAACTGTGAAACTTCGTTGATACTTGTGTTGGGTGAGAAATGATTCGTGGAGCCTGAGTCATCCTCGGACGCCTCGTAACTCGATACACCGTCGTTGTTCTCCTTCAAATTTTTCGAGATGCTCTCCTCCAACTTCTCCTCTCCTTGCACCGCGCCCGTTTGCCCCACTGCCATCCCCTCCTCCATCATCGCGTCATCGTCCTTCTTAACCACCATCGCACCACCATCGTCGCACCCATACTTTTCACCACCTATCACGTCCACCGACCTCTCCATTTCCGGCTTCTTGAAATCCGCGTCCTCCTTCACGTTCAAAGCCTCCAACAGGATCTCGGCCGAGGCGCAGGCGGCCTTCCATGTCACGTCCTCGGACACGGTGTAATTGGAAACGTCGGATCGTTTCAATATCCTCGGCGAATTCTCGAGGGAGAATGTAGGCGGTGGCACGATAGGGGTCGCGGGGAACGGTAATTTCATCGTGCCCGACCCGTTGTTGTTCACGCCGGCCGTCGAAGCTGGGATGCTCGCTGGCCTCGAGACGGGAGTGGAGGAAGCGGGGACGCAGAACTTCTCCTTGCCCGGTCCGTAATGGCTCCTCGCGTTGTGACTCGACCCGTTCGCCACGTTCCTCGAATTCGTCGAATTCTCCAAACGTCTGTTCGACCTTCTCTGATGCCTCTTCTTGGGCACGTTGTAACTTCCCGGCTTCATGTACACCCTCACGTCCTCCGAGCTGTCGTACTCCTCCGGCACCTGTTGCACCTGGACGCGGTTGTTGATCAAATTGTACGCGTTCCAGGGGGCGGTTTGCACGCTCTGTATGTTCTGCAACGTTTGAAATTGGCGGTTCGCGTCTATCTGCAATTGCCTGATGCAATTGGTCAGATCCATAGTGTTCTTGGATATGTCTTGGCGGGCTGCCGATCCCCTCCCCGCCACCATCGTATCAGCGGCGTTCACGTCGGTCAGATTCATGAACGGTATCTGCCTTGGATTGTCCGGATTCCTCATGCTCGCGAACCAAGCGGACAAATTTGCGGTCATCTCCTCGGACGATTTTTCGGGTATGCTCGGCTCGATCTGGCTGAGCAACGTCATCTTGTCCTTGGGGACCGCGGCCAATTCCAATTGGCTGGTCGACGATTTACCCACGTACACGAGATCCACGTTCGTCTTGTTCCTGTTGCCGTGACCCTGGGACGAGTCGAAGCTCGTCTTCGAGTTTTTGTAATCGAGGGATGCGTAGGGTGGCGGGCAAACAGCGTAACTTGGATAGAACGCGTCGTGCTCGCCCGTTGCAGGGAAATACATTGACTCGAGGCTGATCGATGGATTGAGGAAGGAGGATTCCACTCTCGACAAGCATTTCTGCCCGTAACCGGTGTCGCAATTCTCCACGTCCAGTTGGCGCTGCAGTCTGAATATACCGTCCACGTTCTCGGTCACGTGGGAGGGGGAGGAGGAGGAGACCTTTGCCTCGGGGAAATCTTGCTTCTTCTCCTTGTTGTGGTACAACCATTGCTGCCTGGACGAGTCTTGATTGCTCTCCGTCAGTATCTTGCTTCTCAGGTGAAAGAATTCGGCGTTCAACGATTGAGTAGGCGTCTCGTTCTTCCCTGACGACGAGCTACCTCTGGAACGGTATCTACTGTTCGCCTGTCCCCCGGATTTCGCGTGCCCTGAACAGAAGA